GATGGCTTCTGAGTAACGATGACATAAAAGTACACTTGTCTGTACACAAGCTGTGACTTTTCTTAGTGTTATGTTTTATTTATAGCAGCTACCCTATTTCCAAGAAGACCCCTGTTTCTATTTATAGTTGCTGTCAGACTTTGGACATAACAGAGAGGTTTTCTAATTTTTAATCTTTGATCGCATATTCTTCATTAAAATTAATGTGAGGTACAGAACCATTCTGTAGGAATTTAGCAGTAAAAGTCATCCTATTTATTCTAGTCGAAGCATATGTTACAGGAAAAATGTTTCTCAAATGATTTCACAGATAGATTAAAAAGGAAAAAAATGGGATAAATGAGTCAGAGATGAATACATTACACAATAGAGTGCCATTTTAGGGTAGCTTCACGCCCATTGCAGGCTGTATGGAAAGGATTTTAATATTGGTCATAGTGTAAAACAAAGATGCCTTGAATTAGCTCATTTTGCTAAGTCCAATACTAAGGTAACTTCTTTTTTACAGCAAAACTAAATTGTGAAAACAAATTTTATAAATGCAGGGGCATTATTAACGAACTCTTAATAGAATACTGACTACAACTAGTGGTATAATACAGCTTTGGTCCTTTGTTCAAACAGATGCTTCCTGACTCCAAAATTGCAGAAAATATGCATGTGTTTTATACATATGCACATTGAATTTTATTATGTTATATGTGGATTACAATTTTTCTGCTCAGATTACTCCTTTTTTTCCACTTGGATTACGCTTTCCTCGCCAGGGGTTGGCATGTATGCAGTTCATAAAGGACTGATGGATCAGGGTCTCTGCTGGTCTTGATGATTTCAGGTTAATGGCACAGATTCTGATCTTTCATTGGATTAAGAATTGGAAAATGTAATGCTGATCTCTGGCTAGCGCACTTTAAACATTGGTAAATATGAGACAAGCTTTTGTTAATGAGCTGCTGGTTTTTCTTATATTTATCAGCATAATACTGATGAACTACATTACTGTGGAGCTAAGAATTTAACACCAGATGTAAAATTCTCAATGTTTACTGTATAGCCCAATAAGTATAAAGGTAAAACTTAGGTTGCTTATTGGCCAACAGTTTTCATTAGTATTGATCATTATTCAAGGAACAGATGCCATATAAAGTATTAGTAATGTTTAGAATGTGGATATGTGAGAAAGCTTGCCAGTAGCTTCTTGTGGGTCGGTGGTTCTTTCCGGTGATTTCCCGGTTTCTTCCTCCACCATTAATACTGGCCGCCATGTATAGCCTTTCCTGTGCTGAAAAATGGCGTTAAACCCCACAACAACAACAAGTAATGTTTGCCTATGTGGTGTCAGAAAGAAGACATTTATGTCCTGTGAAATTTAATCTGTTAACATACTGTTTTGTGAACTAGCCATATTTGAAAGAATTGGTGACATCAGAAAGAGAAAACATTATTTAAAAACCATTTGGATATTACTTTTTCCAACATAAAAAAATGAAAGATTGGTTCTAAGCTTAGTATGTTTAATATTATTCAAGCTTTTACTTTTTGTGTATATATATATCCCTATCAGCAAATGCTGAAGTTTTGCACTGAAACACTATTTCTGATGATAGTAGACACTCAAGAGTTGGATGCTTGCGTTTGAATTTCTCTAAGTATGGTTATAAAAAAAGTATGCTACCGCCTGAATCCAGCCATCCTTTTGACTTAAAAAGTCTCCCAGTCTATACATTTTGTGGATGAAGGGAAGTAATTCTTAACAGATTACCTCCCCTGACCCCAATAGAGTGTACTGTTTGCCATATATAGTTGTGTGATTTATATTTTTAATATAGCTTTAACAAGTTTAGTCATGTTGCCTCAGTGTCTGCAGTGTGACAGTTTAAAGTGAAGTCTAGCACTGGGGCATCATGCTGAAAACATGTAGGATTATGTCCAATCCAGTTACATTATCCTGACACCATTCCAATCAGTCCCAACACTAACCTCTTAATGCTGAGTATCAAGCAAGGCAGCTGCTAGTACCATTTTTATAAGACTTTGATATGACTAGGATGGAGTTCAAACAGTGACCTCCCACATCCAAGGCGGATGCTCAATCCATTTACTTACCAGAGCAGTCTCTTTATGAAGCCAGTTTTGACTTTACCTTCATGAATCCATGGATTTGTTTTCTGTTAGCCTTGTAGCAGTCTCTTTTAATGATATAGCCTGTCAATCATTCTATGTAGTGAATGCTACATTGTTATGCATTTTTGGTGAATTTGAAGATTTGTTACAAGTTCATGTCAAAATATTTGTACAACTGTTTTCGTTACTAGATTGACCCATAGGAACATATCTAGTTCTTCTATCTTTATAATATACTTATAATATTATCAGTACTTATTTAATTACTATTTTGCTCATAAATTTGATTAATAACTGTTTTCACATTTATCTTGAAGACTGTTGGTCAGTAGTTTCTGTGGGTGGGTTGTTCCAGGTTCTTTCTCCACCAGTTGTATTGGCTGCCAGATATAGCCCATCATGTGCTAAAAAATGGTGTTAAGCCCAGAACAACAAGATTACAAACAATGTTTTGTATTCCCACTCGGCAGATAAATATCAATTTCAAACTTTGACATGTTTCTAGGACACTGTCGCTATTGCAACATCATTTAAACAGTAGAGACTAGATTGTTAGAAGACAGGGTGGTTAAAACATCGAAAATGAAAGCAAGAGATGACACACTTTAAAAGCATACAGGTGTGGATGAAAGCTTGAGAAAAAGATGAATCTGAATTAATGATTGAATAAATAAAAAGGTAAAGTTTGTGATGTGTGTAAACTTGGAATCACCACAGTTTTGAGTAATTTTCGTTGAACCTGAAGGAAGCAACTTGGTGTTGTTATGTCCATACCTATGCTCTACATGGAAAAAGATGACGTTAACAGTGTCCCTTTTTTCCAATATTTGCCCTTCAGAGACCCCAGTTTTAATTTGACCCCCAATTTTAATACAAAGTTTTTTTTACTCAGTCTGACCCACAGTTTTGACGCCAAGAAGATTTTTGACTCATTCTTGCACCACTATGGGATACAAGGAATCAAGTTTTAGATGCATGATCTGGCATTTTTGAGATTATTATCCGAGGAAACCCGATTGAACAACTACAGACCTTCATTCATACTCAGTGAAAATGTGTTCTTTTCTTACAAAATCTTGCAGATGTTAAACAGAATCAAAACTTGTAACTGGATACGTTTCTTAGTTTATATGGAGATGTGCATAGTAAAGGATACTTTATGTTGAAAATATATTCTTGTACAGAATCACCCATCCATACCACTTTACTTTGGAATTTTCTTTTATGTAAAAGAAAATAATAGTCACATGTTTTGTTGTCTAGACTTTGAGACTGATAAAGGTACATAATGCTGAAGAATGTTTGCAATTAAATTAGCTATAACTCTATCATGTTTAAATAGATTTTGTGTCATGCATGAGTGGTTATGCTGTAATGTTTCAATGATTAAACCCAATTCATAACAGTATAACAATAAATGTACATCTGCAAATATGAAAATTGCACAGTATCTCCTAATGTATTTTCTCACTCTTCCAGTCCTCAGTGAATGACAAGGCAGTATGTCTGAATGTATTTTCTTGACCTTTTAGTCTTCTGTGGATGACAAGGCAGTATGTCAATATATTTTCATGACCTTTCAGTTGTCTGGATGACAAGGCAGTATGTCAGTGTATTTTCATGACCTTTCATTTGTCTGGATGACAAGGCAGTATGTCAATGTATTTTCATGCCTTCAGTTGTCTGGATGATAAGGCAATATGTCAATGTATTTCCATGCCTTCAGTTGTCTGTGGATGACAAGGTATTACATCTTAATATATTTTCTTTACCTTTGAGTCTTCTGTGGATGGCAATATGTCAATGTATTTTCTTGACCTTTCAGTTGTCTGGATGACAAGGCATTATGTCTTAATATATTTTCTTGACCTTTCAGTCTTCTGTGGATGGCAATATGTCAATGTATTTTCTTGACCTTTCAGTCTTTGGATGACAAAGGAGTATGTCTTAATGATGTATTTTCTTGACCTTTCAGTCTTTGGATCACAAAGGAGTATGTCTTAATGATGTATTTTCTTGACCTTCCAGTCTTTGGATGACAAAGGAGTATGTCTTAATGATGTATTTTCTTGACCTTCCAGTCTTTGGATGACAAAGGAGTATGTCTTAATGATGTATTTTCTTGACCTTTCAGTCTTTGGATGACAAAGGAGTATGTCTTAATGATGTATTTTTTTGACCTTTCAGTCCTCAGTGGATGATGAGGCAGTATCAGCAGAGGATGTAAGCTCTGTTAACAATGATACCGAAGCTGAGGATGAGGCCAACTCCTCCATAAATGAGGCAGACAGTAATGGTGAGGAACTTGGTCCAAAAATAAATTCATTACCTATTGATATTATATTAGGATAACTTTCTCTGCAACCTCTTAATACAGATATCCTCTATCTACTTGCTAGGTGGCTACCATTATACCCAGTTTAAACCAGTTTTCACGTCAGTGTTATGATATAAAGATGTCTTCAGTAAAATCCAATTTTTGCTTATCTTCTTTTAAATTTCCAGTGAATTTATTGCATCTTTTACAATTATATCATTTGTTATTGATGTGTGATTTCAATTGCAAAATTTAAATTCCACCAGAGATTTTAGAGTGTTTTACTCATTAACTGTTACTCTTAAAAGTTGTTTAAATAATGCAGTTTACATTATTTCTACTTATATCTGGAGTTTTTTAGTTGGTCCTCCTATTCATCATTATTCACTACATGTGAGTGCACTTTGGTACAAAATACACTCAACACATTGGAAAGCAACTCAAATGCGGCAAAAAGGAGCATGCTCAAATAATTTTACATGGCTTTTTACATACACCATGCATTTGAAACATTTTGTCTCATGGGGGGATGTTGAGATGCCCTCAACACCACTCTTAAAGCTCCAGTGGCCTAGTGGTTAGAGCATCCACCTTTGGATGCGGGAGGTCGCGAGTTCAAACCCTGGCTGAGTCGTACCAAATATTTAAAAAAAATGGTACTAACAGCTGCCTCACTTGGTGCTCATCATTAAGAGGTTAGTGTTAGGACTGGTCAACCTGGTGTTAGGATAATGTCACTGGGTGTGACATCATGTCACATGTCTATGGCATGATGCCCCAGTGCTTGACATCACTATAAACTGTCACACTGCGGCATCATAGTGATATGACTGAAAAATTGTTGTTAAAGTTGCTTTAAAAATCTAAATCACACACACACACAAAGCTGTAGAAACAACACCAGAACGTATTGTATCGTTTTGGTAACAACGAGGTAATCTCAGATTTCTGCCCACTTCTGACATATCCAGTCCATGCTTGATTATGTTATTCTCAAATGGAATCTCTCAGGGTGTTTGACAGGGCCAAAATTGTCTAAGTTTGAGCCACCGTCTCCCCCCTCCCCCACTGAAGTAGCGCTCTTATAGCAAATTATCACAACACTTACTTCAGCATGCTTAGTAATTGAGCTAGATACAATATATGTGGATCTGAACTATGTGCAATTCTGTTCTGATGGTTCAGTCATTTTCATGATGCAACCTGATTCATTACTAAGAACAGGTTGGTGTAACGAAGTGGCCAACAATAACTTTTCCTTTCCTTGCATTGATTGACACGCAAAGCTGCAGGACAATATCAGCATGAGCTATAAAAGGCTGTTTCTTCTTCAGAAGGCAGGATCACAACCAATCAGTACCAGTACTTTAGTTGGATGAAGGAAGTTATTAAATTCATGTACTCTGCACTTTCATAGAATCAGGTACACAATGGAGATTTCAGCTTACAAAATACAAGTGACTTGTATACTTATATCAGCTTTCATTTGAACCAAATGTCTCATATTGGGTCATAACAGAGTCGGCTGACTAGCACATTCAGTTTGCCCTCTATTGTCTCCATTTGCATGACATGGCATCGATAAGGAGAGAAATTAATCTAGTTTGGTTTGTGGTAGCTACACAATGACCACTCCCCATTCATGAAAGCACATCCTTAGACCCAGACATGAATTGGCCACTTTTGCTGGATTTACCTTAGAAATTTTATGGTGAGACTGTCATGAAGTGCAGAATCCCATAGAATCTCCCTCACACATGTATAAACAAATTGTCTCATTATGCTCAACATGTTCCTGCTCTTGCCTATTCTCCTAATATAATGTATTTTATGGAAAGCAAATATTTTAATAAATTGTTCCTCCGATAATACATATCGGATCACAACACAAATTTTCCTTCATTGTGAGCATCCTTTAAGGTTTTGCTCAAATAAAAACTGGTTTATTACAGTAGCCAGTGAGCAGGTAGAAAGGTAAGTTAGCTTGTAAGAGTTGCTTCTCATAGTCTATATAAAATACAGAATGGAAGATGTTTTTCTTTGGGCTCCAGGTGGTTTAAGGCATTCACCTGTACATATCACTGACATCTCACCTCTGTCCCCATGGCTGTGAGTCTCAGACTTGGCCAGTGTTGTTATGTGAGGAAGATGGCCAGTATCTTCCCATGGCTTGGTGGTTCTTCTCATCATTTTGCTGCTGTCAATCCAGAATATGTTGTAGCACAGAAACTATAAAATGTAGATCTTTAAATTTTACAGAATTGATGATGGTATTAGTAGATGACATGTTTAAACTTTGAAGCCATTACATCAGTGTTTGGGGGTTGTTTTTGCTTTTTTAAAACTTGGATGCTGGAACTATCATTTGATTCATGTTCAGCTGCCATTAATTCTGTCTATCCGTGCATTAATAATTGTTAAAATCTGCATATCTTTGCAACTATTACACATAATTAGAAGCCATTTAGACAGTGTATTGTCTGTTAGATGTAGAGGTGCCTTTCAAAAGGTTCATCTATTCATGTCCAGTGTTGATATAGTTTGTGCCCATTTCCCATCAGTTTAAAAGGAGTTGCTAAAAATAACTGTAGTGAGTGGACCCCTTTGCAATGTGCTTATCACACATAGCAAACATGACCTTTATTAGGTATATTTGTATTTATATAAGTCAACCTATTCTGATGTTCCTTCCAGTGCAGAATTTTAAAAATAAATATTTCCTAATTTGTAATATTTTGATTTTTGGTCTGCTGTGAGAGCTTGCATATTTTACAAACACTATTCAAAGTATGATTTAGAGTTTGGACATTAATACACTGACTCAAATGTAAATACAGAATGGTGATTGACATTTAGGAATAGTGCATGTCAGTAATCCTAAACTCCTTCAATTTGTTGGACATGCCCAGTAGATCAAAGGTTTTGACTGACACATATCAGGAGCAAAAGGTCCTTAGGCCAAAAGATTGTTTCTTTGTCTGTCATTCAATAATGATCCTGCCAACTAAGCTTTATTCAAAGCTGGTTAGGTGTAATGTTTTCAGTTTCTTTGTCAGATAATCAATAGAGGTGCTGCAGACTGGGCTTGTTTGATCAGTGTGTTTTCTTATTTCTTAGTTTAAACACTAAAACCAGAAAACAAAAGAGGTGCAAAAGTTTATCTCCTTAACTTTTTAAAAACCTTATGCTGAAACAACTGCCAGTGGGTGTATACAAATAAACATTAGATCAGTCCCTTAAACCATTTGGTTTGTGTTGAGGTTTGTCAGCATGATATAGTGAGAATAAAATTTGTCAACTTTTATTACTGTCCATCAAAACTTTTTTTTTTTAAAAAATGCAATTTTTCCCAAAATGTCCATTAAATTGGTGTTACACATTTTCATCTTCTTGTCAGTTGATAATTACTTTCTGAAAACAGTTGAGTGGAATATTCTGTTGTTGGGTGAAATTCAATTTTTTTATATTAATAATTAGTTTAAAGGAAACCAGTTAATCATTGGGAGGATAATACTAAGCAGCAGCAAATATGGAAACAAAATTAACACATCTTTTTGGTACATTTGATATTTACCTTTTTAGTGTTTTCTGTTTTGTCATATATCTTTTGAATGTTTCTATATTAAATTTTAAATATTAAATTTTACATGTATATGGCCCCCAGGTAATTTTCCAGAATTTTGTTTTGGCTAGCCATAAATATTTAAGGATCACTGGTATTTATAAGGTTTTATCACATGAATGTGCATGCATGCATATATATATATATATATATATATATATATATATATATATATATATATATATATATATATATATATATATATATATATATATATATATATATATGAGGCATCTTTACATATATTCAGATACCTGCTGTGATGCCATCTTGAAATGTTTACCATGGCTACATTTAGTGTACATGCACATTGTGTGTTTACTAAGTGATGCAACATATCTTATGTGCCATCAAAGAGTTGAGTAACTTGTGAGATGCATTTTCAAGTGAACAATTTATGTATGAACTACTGGGTTCCAGTTTTAATATTTAGTATTATTTGAAAGTTCATTTCACAAATCAAATTGATAAAAGTCACTGAATAATTCTTTTCCTCACCAAGGTTTGACTTGTTTCTCAATTTTTTTTTAAATGAACACAGATCAAGATTTTCAGTACTAATCATGTGTTTACTTCACTGTCAGAAGTGATTCACGCTGTTGCTTTTCCAATGCAGACTAATTGCTTATAACTGGTTATTTCAATCATTTAACCATTTAAGACTTAAAATAAAGTAAACATAATTTTAGAGTATCTCTTATTGGTTATAGTGTTTTAGTTTGGGTTTTTTAAATTCATAATTTGCACATAAGAAATAAGTAATCAGCAGAGGACACTTGTTATATCCATATCCATCACAACTTTTGTTTTGAGTTTATGTGAAAAATGCAAAATTTAAATTATTGTTTCATATTTTTCAGGTGAAATTGGGACCAGAGTGGAATGTTTCGTCAATAGTAAATGGTAATTTTTAATCATATTATCTTGTAGTCTGTTGAATATACAAGTTTTCATGGATTTTATGGTGGCTACATCTGCATGTATATGCAACTTGTCTTTGTTTGCTGTCTGTAAACATTTACAAAATTGGTAACCATATAAATCAACATGCATAGCTGATTCATGTGTCCAGGCAGTACATCTGTTGGCACTGTTGAATTTTTTGTCAATATATCTTGCAGTACTGAGCAATCTAATTTCAACCCAAGAGATGTTTTACCTAAATTATCTGAAAAATTCAACATAGACACATTGTACAAACAAAATAATTCTGTCAGAGTAAGACATCAGAGATGTACAGCAAATGAAACAAGAGATAAAGTACTAGCATGCATGCTGTACATGAATTACCAATTAATATATCAGCTTTAAGTCGGATGTGCAGTTCAGAGAAAAGGTTGGGTATTGAAATTGTCTTGATTAAATGGGCGTTTCAGTTATTGTATACTGTGTGCTTAAAAATTTTTATTAGCATTGCAGCATAAGATACAAAATCAAACTGCCATTTCTTATGATTTAATTGTAAGTCTTATTGAACTGACTTAGATAATGAACCTGTTGTATAATAGCAAAAAAAAAATGAATCCAGATATTTTCCAGGTTTGATCTGGATCAGGGTTTCTTATTATATTCATTGGTGGTGGTCAGGAAACCAGACAGACTTTACAGAAATACCTCAGACACTTAAGTCTTACGTTTTCAGGCATAATACTTGCATAATCAAGCTTTTGTTTTTCTAACATATTTTTGAAAAACCATCCAAAAAATGAAAACATGTTGAAGGTGAAAGTGATAATCAGCTTCTTAAATGTTCAAACAAACAGCACAGAAGTGAAAAAAAGGAATATTCCAGTTTGTGGGAAAGAAAGCAGGAATGGCAAAAATTAACCCTTTCCCACATAGAATGTATTGCTTTTTAGCCGTTCGATATGCATGTAGCAAAGTTACACAGTGCAGTCTGATACACATAGGCCTGTTAAGCAGTGAAGTGTATTTTACATTTAAGAGCAATTTAAACCATTTTACGTTTTTGGTACACATATATTATGTATGCAAAAATTTAAGAGTATAAT